CCGACTAGTAATCAATGCCAAATCCGGTGAAACAACTGGCCACTGTGATACAATTGTATAATAACAACAACAACAACAACAACAACAACAACATTTTAAATAAACACATAAAAATAAAACATTTTTACATGTTCAGTTGACTGAGTTTCATGTTTAATGAATAAAAAACAGTGCCTCATAACTAAATCTTCCTAAAGCCTTGTAATATGTTGACCACTATGCAGACATGGCCAAGTTTCATTCATTGAAAGAAAGAACAAAAGGCTTTATGTAGTTTCCATAGTGTGCCAAGATGCTCTCATCAAGCATCGAAATGTAGCAAGACCTCTGAAAGATCTGGGAACAAAGAATCTTTGGAGTGGGTGGCACACAAACATATAAGTAAAGTAAGTTTTAAAACAAAACTGTGAAGAATATCCTAGGGGTAGGGACAATCTTTAAAATGGGTCTTTTATGTATTGCAGTTGCTAAGCTCAGTTTCACTACAGTATTCAGGAGAGCAATGGGAAAAAGTGAACACGTGCAACCTTGAGACCATTTCTTTAATCTAGGACATAGGTATCAAATTTGCAGCGTCACATTGGTGTCACATCACATTTTTCCCATTCGCGGAGCTGGGGTGGGCGTGGCCTGCATGTGACGCATCCAGCCTGCGGGCTGCCAGTTTGACACCCCTGATCTAGGATATCAACCCTACCACCACCACTGTCATCCTTCTAACCAACAGTATAGGAAATATGCTCTAGTTACTGGTCAAGATCCAGTTCTCCACCCTGCTCAATAAAGTGCATGTTGAGGGAAATCCAGAATTAGCAATCGCCAAGGAAAGCTTGATGTGCCCAAAGTGTAGGACATAAACACCCAGTCCAAGTGCAACAGAAGGTGGGAGCCAATGAAATAGAATTTTAAACTAAAATGATGTAAGAAATAAGAAAGATTGTGTCTTGATTTTTGACAGGTGGCATACCTATGAGAATAATGTTAACCCTTTTGCTTAGATACTACCCTTCTAAGGTAAAAATTCCAGAGATAGAGCACTTAAGAACCCAAAATGAGATTTCTGAAATATGTTTTGAGTTTTGCACATAACGCCTTTATAAACATAGCAAGAATTAACCTTGGCGCCTACTGTAGTTTTTAGATTCTTTTAAAAGTCTTGCAATGATTCTCAAAGAAATGTCACCTGCCACCCACAACCTTATTTGATCTGATCCTGTTTTTTTCTCCCTCCTCCCAGTTGGTCCACTGCATGTGGAGTTTTCAGAAGTTGTGAATCTGAAGGATGTGGAGAAGGCAAATCCAGAACTCAGGGAAGGAGGCCGCTATACACCAAAGGACTGCAAAGCACTTCAGAAAGTGGCAATTATTATCCCTTTCAGAAATCGAGATGAACACTTGAAATACTGGTTGTTTTACCTGCATCCAATCCTGAAAAGGCAGCAGCTCGATTATGGTATCTATGTGATTAATCAGGTAAGAGTTGCAGTTCTGAAGAGATTGGTGCACATAGAAGAGAAGTATGTTTGTGTGCTGTGGGTTTCTTTTGGGTATGTTTTTGTACTAAATAGTGATGAAATAGGAAGCTTAATCTTTTGAAAGATCCTTGCTTTGCATGTTGCAACAGAATCAATAACAGTTGCTTTAATTTTTTAAAATTTCTAAACTGTATTCCCTGCATTCCTGGCTTATGAAAGCAGCTAACTGCCTTTAAAAACAAACCAAGTACAATAGAAAAACATTACAACACTATAAACCAAGGTTTCTATAAGAACTTCAAAGCAAAACAACCCCCCACCCCCCAATCTTTTACGTCTGCCCAATTTCAGAATTGCTACCAATGGTCTCCAAATCAGACCAAAGCATCAAAAGCGAGATCCTTGTAGATCTACATCTGAATTGCCAATAATACAGCCATAAAGAGATGGTGTTAGTTATTTCTGTTGCTGAATATTTAATACAGCAAATTGACCTGCTATCTTGTTAATCTATAAAAAAATATAATGAATAATTCCCATAGTGAATTAACTTATTCTTATACAATTAAAATAATTATGGGGACCTGTCATATTTTGCCTGAGTAGAAATAGTGAAGTTACAGAATTCTATAAAAATCCAGAGATTCATGTAGCAGTACTAAATTGTGGCCTGTGATACCTCAAGATATTTTTGATTAATGAAGATTTTGTTCGTGTCATATCTGTATTCTCAGACATCAGATCTTAGAATACATATCTTTCTTTGGGTGAATTTCCTTCTTTCTGTATTATTAGTCCTATTAAGATTGCCTAGGTTCACCTGCCAGAGAAAATACATTTTTATCTTTGTGATATTCAAAGAAGGACAATTAATCCCACCCCCCTTTGGCTTCTTTTTTTTAGAGCACATTGTATAGGAAAATGTGGTGTTGTCAGGTTGTCAGGGTAAAAGGCATGTAGGAAATTTGGACAGGTGAGCAAGGAAGCTAAGGATCAATACTCTGATATAGACAAGGAAAGTTGATTTTTTCTTAGAAAAGTTACCCAGACTCAATACCTGATGGGTCTAGAAACTTCAGATTAGTGACTTGCAGACTGTAGGTTTCATACTTTTCTGCTCTTACTGTTAGCCCTGGCCACCAAAGAAGATGATGCCAGACCTCATCACATTATTTTTAGTTTATGTCTTATGGCATCCATACGGCTTGTATTATAACTACCTTTCTTGTATTAACACAATATCCCTATCAGAGCACATGGCTACAAACAGTAAGAAATGCATTAAGAGAGTCATGGCCAATTCATCTGATAAATAATGAGTGTAAAACAATCCACAAGTGGTGAATCCTCCCATAATGTGAACCATAAGTCATGGTGAACTTGCAGAGTTTAACCTGTTTGCATAAAAGTGTCTGTTCTAGGGTTTTTCTTATTTTGTGAGCCTTCAGGATGTGATTCTCATGTGCCAGTTTCGTAGGCTGTGAAGTTTGCCAGTTTCATAGATTATGCACAGCTGCATGATGTGCTTAGTAATACCTGATTCTCAAGGAGGAACTAGTAGCTCTACATTCTCTGTTTGGGTAGAGACTGCATCAGTTAAACACCTGGGTTTAGATGTGATTTCAGTCAAGATGTTCTGAATTTGTGTGATCAATCTAGAGCCCAGGTTACATTTTTTTTTGCCACTCCACTGTTATATGCAAAAAGGTTGAGCATATTTTCCAAGTTGGCTTACAAAACAATTGGTGAGAATAATCTATTTTCTTTCAGGTCTAGACTAGCCTATTTAACATTACTTACTGGCATCCTAATATCTATGTCTTGAGCCTTCATAGTGATGGGATTGGTTTTGATACCAGACAGGTCAGAAAAACCTCATGAATTCACTCTCTCTCTAATATGTCTCACATATTAGACTTGTAAAATGCTGCCCTGGGACTCTCTGCTTGAATCACCTAACATGAAGACTTTCAAAAGGCAGATAATACTCCATAAAGTTTGGGAATCGTTGAGTTATAACCTTCTTCCTATATATGCTGTGGCTCAGATTTTGTATCTGAGCAAACTTTGCTAATATTTTCTACTAATGGCTTAACCAGAAGGCAACCATAGTACTTAGTTGGAGTTGACTACTTAAAACTATCTTTTTAAATCTTCATGTTTTCTTTTGCAGCCAAGGATGGGATATGGTCATTTAATTGCAATATTTTAATGGCTGGAAGTAGCTCATCCATCCTCAATCTGATCCTTTTCAAATGTTTTTGACAACAAAGACATTATTCACTGCTTAATTAAAACATTTGTGTGTTGGAGTTTAACACATCTGGAAGGCCCAGATAGGAGAAACTGGGCCAGTAGACGTGGGTCTCAGGTGTGCTAGTGCTTCCTCCATTGCTACTCACAGGTCACATAAAAATGATTGAGTGCAATGAACTAATTTTGTCAATGAAGAATTCAGCTTGATTAACTTTATTATAGCAGGATGTTTTGAGAGGTTTTTTTTAACATATCCAACCAGTTAAATATGCAACAAACACTGTTGGCCATGATCCTTAAATTATTCAGATGGTGGTGGGGTTTTGCAAGAATTGTATATCTGCAGGTTTTTTTTTTTAAAAAAGGTCTTTCTTTACTTTCTTGATAATCGCTTTTCTCTTTTTTTCTCCTCCTTGTCTGTCCTTCCTTTGCATCTATTCTTCCTTCTCTTTTCCCCCCTTCCTTTCTAGGGGGGAAATCTTCCCTTTTTCTAGTTAAACCTGTCCCTATAGCAAAGCAATCACTGAAGCATCGAGAATTTCTGTGTGAATGATTCTTACTACATCTGCGTCCTTCTGTGTTCTGCATCTCATAGGAAAAAATAAGAGAGGGAAGAAATGCTGCTCCTCCTCCTGCTTCCATGGTAACGTCCCACCTCTTACCTTTCAGTACAAAGCAAACTGCCCACAAATCCCTTGCACTGACTTTGGAAACATCTGAAATATGTTACGTGGAAACCCAGCCTGAAATGAGGGTAGAGAAAAGTGAAAATTCGTAAGGAGGCTCTTTGAGCAAGGTGGGGGAGAGTCATGTCAGTCCCCATTTTCTTGAACTGAAATGTATTTTCACCCATCTTTGTGAGGTATATTATTTCTCTATAGTTCCTCTGCATCCTACTTAAGGAATCTGTACCTTGGACCTGCTTTTTGCTTTGTGTGTTGGAGTAAATGCATCATAAAATGCTTCAGCTTTTTCAAGGGAGATCTTTCTCAAGATTTCAAAAAAACAAAACAAAAACAAAAAAAAGCCCTGGCATGTTTGCCTAGAATTGTTTTGCATCGCTTTGCAAGGTTTTATTCTGGGCAGAGCGTGGGTTGAATGTCATCACAAATGGGGAGGTAGGGAGTGGCCTTTATGCCATCTAAACATCTCTGTGTTGCGCATGGTGGGGAAATCATTAGTAAAGCACAAAGTTACCTTATGGAATAGTTGCTCCCTTCCTCTTGCTCCATTAATTGAAACCGGAGCATCGAACCTTGGTAACTTTTAAGACTGTTGACTAGGGAATTCTAGGAGTTGAAGTTCCCAAGTTTTAAAGTTGCCAAGGTTGGACACCCCTGCATTAGTTAGTGTTGGATACAAATAATGCTGCAAGTTGTTGAGTTTCTTAGAGACCAGAGAAGAAATTGCCTAAGTTACCATCATGGAAGTAGTGCAACTACTCTCCTTGGTGTCACTAGCCTAGGAAATCTGTGTCTGTTACCACTTCCTAATCCAATAACACTTGAAAGAAACATGAATTCCACTGCAAGACCAAGCAGGGTGGGAAGCTTCTAATTTAAGAGTTCAAGCAAGAGAACGGCCTCAATCCAAAACCTGATCTGAGCCTCTAAGCTCATAGCGCCAATTTGGGCTGTTTGTTGCTTTGAGGTAAGATTTGTGCCAGATTGTTAATGAATGCCAGCTGTTTGACTTGTTGCAACTTAGGAGAGCTTTGTGTGGGATTGGCTCACTTCATAGAGGCAACAGGGCTTGTTTCTGCAGATCTGACAGAAACCTACAGCTGCTGCTTCAGGCAGAAATCCAGCTGGCTTGTCAAACTGGCCGGTAATTAGTTTGCAGCCCCTTCTTTGACAAACACCATGGGGAAGGAGCAAAAGGTGTCCTCAAGTTGTGTCAGGACAATAGTTCTTGTCAATCTTGTGCTTTCTGTCTGACAATAGCTTGAATTATAGAACTGGAAAAAAATCAAGATTGGTGGACTATTGGAACAGCTTTTCTTCAGAACTGGTGCAGATTGAGAATAATCTGAGATTCCTGAAGTCAGTTACAATGTGAAAAGAAGGAAAAGCACAATATACTATATGAACCTTTAAATATATATTCATATGCAAGCCTCACAGTTCAGTGGAGTTTCATCTATGACAATGTCATTGCAGCCTAAGAATTTGAAAAAAGCTTGAAAGATACCCGTTCTCTGAGAGAAAGAAGCATTGAATGTATTTCATTATGGCTCATTTACTTAGATAACATGTTAATATCTTATATGAAGTACATCCTTTATTCAAGCAAACTTGCACATATATTTGTCCCCTGAGGCCAACAAAATTCCAAATACTTGCTATGTTTATATCTTGCCACTCTGTTTGTTATTTTAAGGATTTTATAGAGTGATTGCTGTGTATTCTATTTTTGGGTACAAATGGCAAATAGAGAAAGCTTAGGGGGAGGAGAAAGCATCCCAAACTCATCTGCGATAAGAAACGATGCTTGGATCACAATTTTATACGGCAAAGTGGAAAATATGGTGGATTTTGGAAGAATTGGCATAATTGGTGAATAGAATATTCTGGGGGGAGAGAAGAATTCATTTCCCAGCGTGCCCTGGGGGGTGGTCTCCCTCAGTATACAGAATTGCAAACTATTTTTTTTCTGTCTGCCCATCCCCCTTCCTGCGTCTTTGAAAGCTGTAAACAGATGGCTTTTACTACATGGTTAATGGGCTATATTGCAAATGGATTG